CCAGCAGCAAGGAAACGCGAACTCACCCGCCACTTCTGAATGCTTTGGAGGCAAAGGATGTCATAGGATCCGCGCAGCCCGCGGCCCCACCTCCTACTTGTGCATGAATTTCAATTGGAGCCCATTGGTGGACACCACTTCGGTAAGGAATTCTGTCCTCCAAAGGCGACATTTTTGCCAACCCGCTGTGGAATTACAATCTTTGTGTCACACTATTTTTGGTTTAGGGGGGGCATGGGGGACAACTCAACTCCGGCAAAAACCAGGAGGACAACCCAAAAGTTGGGGTTGGGCTTCAAGAGACGCTGAGGCCCTTGGAGTTTCCTGCGACCACATACCTGGAGGAGACCCTTGCAGGCGCGTAATCCTCCCGAATGTGAAACCACCCAAAAGAACATGGATGTTTGGAGGAATGTCCCTTTGAAAGATGCCACCCCAAGAGAACATTCATATTGAAAGACACCATTTTGGGTTCCCACTTTACTTTGCGAGTGATGGTTTGACCATACGACCAGTCTTAAGGGAGGTACCCTTGCAACTATCGTGTGATGGGTGCTGCTTCAAATTTCAAGCCCCTTGCGTGTGGGAACAAGTAGTAACGCAAGCTCACCGATTCAGGGATAAAACGAACCTTCCTCACGAAAGTAGTCCCTTACTCGGGGTGTGTTTATGTCTTCAGTTTGCGACACCCAGCCGGTTCGGACAGACCATTGCAGTGTTTAACACCATTGCACCACTTGCTGCAGAATGCTCTATGACACATTGATGCGTCAAGGCGATGGTTTGGCTGGTGTTGTCCGAAGCCTGTGTGATCAATTGAAGACTTGAGTGGTGACTGTCTAGCTGTGACTGCGTGCCGAGCAAAAGGCTTGTCAGCGGAGAACTCACAGTATTGGAAGCACAAAGTCCTCAAAACTGCTATAGCTCTTAACTCTTGGATCTCTCTCTCTTTCTCTCCCTCTCTCGCTTTGCGTTGTCCGAAGTACTGAGCCGTCCCTCTTTTTGTTGAACCCCGTCATGTTGTGGTACCACCCCAGTGCGATGGCCAATGCCCCAGGTATGTTCGGCGCGCCCCATGGCACCACGCCGGCCAGCAAGAATTGGGCCCGCCTCCAGGTGCGGTACCTTTTTTTCCGTTTGATCGCGCAGCCCACCTTTTGGGCGCCCAAAGGCATGAGTGTTGCCTGCTTGGTCAAACTCCGCAGCTTGGGACTTGTTGCACTCAAAGAATCAGTCGGAGCACGTTCGGTGCCCTTAGAGCCTTAGACTGGTTGGGGTGCAACCCCGTTTTGTGGTTGCAAAAGTACACTGCCACATCACAACAAAAAGACAATGCATTGTTGTATCATTTGGGAATATGTCAACATAGACCCCCAAAATGGTTGGGCCTGCATCTTCATTTGAGCAAAAAAAAGTGCGCACAACGAAAAAGTGCGCGTTTCAATCAACAAACGCGCAAAGTTCCAAGAACTGCGCGAGGCGTTTTTGGCTGGTTTGAAAAAGGTGCGGGGTGTGTATAGCCTGGACATGAACCTGTCAAGCTGTTCAAAAATAACTATAGGCAAGGATACATGCGCCTAATCGGCCAGAACTCGCCTAGATGATCCAAAGAACCAGAGTGCATTTTGGCTATTTACCAACGGAGCGGTTGTCGGGAACAGCCTTCAACATTGCCAAGCCAGCTTGACAGTCAAGTGAAACAAGTTTCAACTCCTTGAATTTGCAAGAAGTTCGAACGGCTCTTGCAAGTGGCGCAGCTTCAAGCGACGACCACATGTGGCTCAAAACCGATCTTTTGGTTGGCAATTCGGGCGCTTTAGACATCTGCTGCCTAATTAAAAGGTCAAAAACGCACGCATACATGCGCACACTTTTCGAATTTGCGCGCAATTGCGGATATTTGCGCGATAGTACCGGATTTTTGCGCGCAAATTGCGGGCTGGCAAAGCGCCGAAAATCGACTAATTTCACCTACTATCAGCGACTTGTCTCAACAAAAATGTGGCGCAAGCACAGTTCTGGAGCAAACAGCGGATCCGTGCAAACCCAGGCAATACTTGCGGGCTGGGAGCTCTTGACGGAGCCAAGCGGGTTGCCAAATCAATGGCCTCAAAATATAGCTGGTACTTGTGCCGGGTGTGCCACAAATTTCCTGCCTAAAACAGGCTTGGGTGGAGACAAAGAAGAGCTAGATATGCAGTAAACATCAAGGACTTCAACAAACAGCTGCGCCGGCACGGGCACAAGCAGCGCGGTATCTGTTGTTTACATAAGCAGTGCCGAATTTGGCTACCAGAGGAGTTTCATCCGAAAAGTGCGCAAATCCCTCAAAAGTGCGCAAATTCAAAAAAGCGCGCAAAAAAACACCACAAAACGCGCAAACAAGCATTTGAGCAGAAAAAAGTGCGTAAACGAAGATTCAGGGGGACACATTTCAGCTGCAGCCTCACTTCGGCAAAGTGCCAGGCCTTCAACAAAAAGATAATTCACATGGCGGGTGTAACTCGTTTTGTGAGGCTCGGGTCCATAGCTTTTGTTTTACGTTAGTTTGGTTAAATATAGATGGCACTGGTTTAGATGCGGTTCCATTTACCGGGGAAGCCCATCTATTTTTCCGAAGGCTCACCTATGGCTGGGCCGCCCTACGCAACTGGCGGTTTCGCCCAGTTGTTGGCTGGGCGACGCTTGAGGGGCCAACTAGTTGGAAGAAACCTATATTAGTATGGAAGTGGGTCACCAATGGTACCATTTTGGGGTAGGTGCACCATTTTGGTCTATTTTAGTGGGGGATTGGGATGTTCTGAAAGAGCCCATGGCCATATGTTTTAGCTTTGGGCTGGGTTGCCAGGGGATGTTTGTGAGGCTCGGGCCTTTCGGTTCTCCCCACGGCTTACCGCTTGGCTCCACAGGCCGCGGTGCTCACCTCGCCGGCTACGGAGTGCTGCCACTGCCTCGCCTATGCGCCTCGGCACGGACGGGTCTCATGTCCTTTGCGGCTGGTCCTTTGGTGGCTGGGGGATTTGGCCGTTTTGGGATCCAATTTTGGGGACCCGTCCCGGTGCACCACCATTCTAGAACCTATTGTAGTGGTTGGATTGGGATGTTCACTGGGCATACAGGATTTTGACCCATGGCCATTTGGGGATCTGAATCAGTGGATCAACAGGGAAAGCTGGTTTCAACCAGTTCTTCGGACAGTATACCAGTTTTTCAGTAGTTGGTTTGGTTGGTTTGAACCAGTTCTTGAGGATAACATGGGAGACCTGCTATCCAAACCATCAAACCACCTATAAGAGGCACCCTTGCATGAGGCTAGTGGCCTTTGACGCTGTGATGTCTACTCGGCTTCTGCTTCTTCTTATGTCTCTTGAAATGTGGCTGGACCGAAAGCACATTCACCAACTAACGTGGAGCCTGTCTAAGGGTTCTGGAAAGCCATGTTCCTCAGCAAGGAGCCCTTTGGTAGGTTCCGTGTTGGCGGGATGGTAAAAGCGTTAGCTGGCTGGGAGCTGGTAAACACTTAGCTTTGACCAGCACGAAGAGAGCCAGCATCAGAATGTGGATAGATGAAGTTTAGCAGGGGACTGTCCCAATCAGAAACAGGCGCGGTGGTCCACCATGTTGGTTCGTATTTGTTCGTCTGTTAGTTGTTATATGCCTTTTATTTTAGGTGTTGTGTCCTGATTGTGTTCCTTCACTCGCCAACAGGAATCCCGGGCAGGCCCAGGTATACTGGACTTGTTGCTTGGGAGTCAAGCTGGGGGCAGGTCCTTTTAGCCGCTTTCAAACGGACAGTCGTACCTTAGTGACTGACGCATTGGCAAACCGGATGCGGACTGGCTGTTTCACTGGGTGCCTATGGATGTGGACAACATGCGCGCTCTATTGAAACTTGCGGCAAGAACGGCTGCATTCAATGGAACAACTCGCCCAGAGAGGCCGCTCGGCCCGGCTCCCCCCCCGGGCATTTTCCAAGGGCCCCACCCCTCAATTGAATTGGGTTGCCGCCATGTTGCCCCGAGAACCGGTTTTGCAATTTTATCATGTTCGCCCCAGCTGCTGGGCCTGGGTTCTGCAACCCACCCACAAACCACCCGGCAAGAACACCCATTGTAGAGGATCTTATTGCGGCCTAAAGTGGCCGCCTCAGCAACTCATTTGGATGTGAACTCGGCTGCTTTGGTTCATGGGCTGGCAGACGTTGACTGACCCTGAAGTTGGCACATCCTTGTGCTGAGATTGCGCTGGGCGTCATGTGCAAGACCGTGGACGAAGACTGCATGTTTGACATCCAGCGGCCGCCTTACCTCCTGACTGCATGGCCATGCGTGCAGTGATGAATGATTGGTATCATGCTATGTTCCTTGGCAGCCAACTGCAATTGGTTTTGCGTTTAGCTGAGTTTGACGCATTTCCATGATTAAATGATGTGTTTTTGTTGACTGCTTGTGAGGGCTTGCGAATTGTAGCTGGCGTGCTGTTGGCTTGAAGTGTCCTCCATCCAAGCAGCGGGCTCGCACCATTCGCTGCGGCGAGCAGGGAAGTAGACTGCCACATGGATAACGCATTGATGGATTTATGTTGGGTGGGGGTGGGGGTGGGCGTGTGCCTGCATTTGGACAAGCATTTAGCTTGGAACATGCCAGGCTGTCCAAAGTTGAGCCTTTTGGGGATTGGTGCCACCACGACAGGGGGTCCAAATTCATCCTGCGGCTTACCATGTTGGTGCTCTTATCCAATTGCGTCAACGCCGCGACCAAAGGCTTCAAGCAGGAAGGGCTCCCCATAAATTCGTTGTTTTCCTGTTTCCCTTTAAGCCAACCTCTAAAAGGGTACTCTCAAGAACCCTCACACCCATCCCCAAAGGCTGTTGGAAGCCCTCAAATGTGGCTCAGTGTTCTTGTTGGGACTTTGACATGTTGTAGTTTGGAGTCAAGTGACAACGTAGCAAGCAACAAACACGGAATAAATACATATACACGCGACCAAGATCATTTTGATCACCTGGGCTGCAGTTTTGGGCTGCGCCAATGGCTTTGGCCAAGTGGGCGGGGCTGGCGGTGACTGCGCTTCTGTCAGGCCAGTTGCCCGGGCGGGCCGGTCAAGGGGAGTGCCGAAAGGGGGAGAAGGAGCCCCTGGACACCTGAGGTACCCATTACTTGACTGCTATTGGGTAACGGATCTTTAGACTTTAACTTTTTGGTTGAAATCAAGTTGGGTTTTCCACTAAACCCCCCAAAAAGTGATCAACTTTTTGCAGGGGGTCAACAGCAACCGATATTATTTGTGCGTTCTTGACTTAGCATGACGGAATGAATTTGGAGGTGAGCATTATAGCTGTTCAATAGCAAAGATGTTGATCCTGCGTTTAGTCTTGAACACCAAATATTGGCAATCAGAGGGGGGGCATGCTTGTTTACCTCAGCCCGGTTGCTCGGTGTGGGTCCCGAATGACTTGCGTCGGCACTCCGCAGGATCTTTCTCTCGTTAGGCCCATAGAGATGGAGCTTCGGACTGGTCGGACCTCCATTTCGATGGACTGGTCGTGTGCTTCGAACCGTTCTGTGGGACGAACGATTGGGACTGGGAGCGGCACGAAGGTTCGGGCGCCCAGGCAGACTTGTTCCATTGGAATGGATGTCTAAGGCATCTTGAGAGGAGGAAGTACTGCGCCATGTGATTGGTTGCCAAACTGGTTGCTAAAACTGGAACAGAGGATGAACGAATGTTTTCGGATATGATATATCTATCATCTAAGGTGCATGCTTGTGCGCAACGGTGCTCAAATCCAATCAAGGTGTTCAATCCAGTCAGCTCACATACTAATGCGTCCTTTATTGATGATCTCCAGCTTCGAATCGCTCAACAAAATCGACTTCCACAACGTGCTCCATGCACCTCACGGTCCGGTGGCGGCCGCCGGTTCTTTCTGTTTCCTGTTTAGCTCGATGTTGTTGGAACACCTACCGACCAGCAAAGCGCAAGGCGTTTGTTTACAGGGTTCCTTGACATGTTGCCCGTTTTGGACCTGGAAACGTAACAACAAAACTCATTGGGAGGATTTCAGTGCCCTACTTCTGGTGTAGGAAGAGAAAAATGGCCATCCCAGTTGCCACACGGTTGTCTAGAACTGGATCCACAAAAGTCGCTAAACTGCACTGCACCCTGGATTTCATGATCCCTGTGTTTCGTTCACGTGTTGTTTCATCATGTGGCAAAACGGCCGAATGGCCGTTTGGCTCAAGTTTAAACCTCCCGTCAGGGGTCTCTCGGATTTGCGTGCATCCGCCATAGCACGGCGGCCTGCGTCATCATCGGGAAAAGGTCCTGGTGCTGCCGCGGCCGGTGTTAGGTGGTGGGTGGCTGGTCGTCGAGGACTTCCTGGGCCTGGTTCTGAACTTCACTTTCTGTTGTAACCTGTTTTCCAACCCTCCCAAACTTGATCTTCTTCAACTGTCACTCCCACAACCTGGTCATCAGCAACTTCACCATTGTGCGTTGGGACTGGGTTCTTTTGGTACTTCGTGGATCACGTGTACCTCTTTGATTCCCTGGGCTACTTCGTGTTCGCCCAAAACCGCAGGTTATCAGCCGTACCAGCTAGAAGCTGGGGCTGGTGATCCGGTTGCGGGACGTGACCCGCTACCTGCTCCCATCGCCTACTTGTACGAGCAATGGCGTCCCCCGGAGCTTCTCATCGTGGGCCGGGCTTCGTGGACGACGAGGCCAACGCCCTTCGCGGCAACGCCGCGCTTGCTGCCCCCGGCTTAGACAGCCGGCTGTGGCCCATTCCCCCGATGGTGGGCGCAGAGCCCAATCCCGGGGTGATCACGGACGATTGGATCCTTTCTCAGGTTGTGTTTGATGAGGATGCGGAGGCCCCTATCCCGGCGGCAGTGCTCCAGATCGAGGACGGACCCCCTCTAGAAGAGGCTGAGGTTCCTCCAAATCAGGTGCCCTCATCGATTTCGCCTACTGTTCCGTTCGTGGCGCTCCAGATCGAGGACCGGGCTGCCCGTCATGCTGCTCATCCGGAGCCGGTTCAATCATGGTCCCTTACATGGGATCAGTTTGACCAACTCCTCGGCAGTGGATCGCAGGCTACACCGCCTGATTTCGGTCGGCTCGACTTTAACTCGGGTGCCCCCGTTTCGGTTGGGAATCTGGATTTTCAATCCCTTTTTGATGCCGATTGGAGATCTCAGCCTTCCCGAATTGACAGATCTTTTGATGCCCTGCCTACGCATGAGCCTACTCAGGGTTTCCCTCATGATGGAGAAAATGACCCCATTGAAGATTTCTCCCCTTCTCATGATGCAGGTTCGGCCCAACCCGAGGTGGGCAAACGGGCGATTGAGGATTGGCCGCAAATAGCTGGCCCTCCTCCCGTCTCAGGTTCATCCGACATTGACATCATTCACGATCACCCCAGTCCGGCGGATATGGACTTCATCCCTGATGCAGTATCATCTCACCTGTCAGGTACCCGCGACCGGAATGCGGACCGCTACAACGCTGGTCCGAATCCACCGCTTTCCTCAGGTACCCGAGGTCGGGATGCGAACCGCTACAACGCGGGCTCAAATCCGCCAAATCGGACATCAGGTACTAGTCGATCGGATGCGGGCCGCGAAACAGCAGGCCCAAATCCTTCCTTCTCTTCGTCAAGAAGCCATGCCGGTCTCTTCGCGGCGTTCAATCGGCGTCAGACTCGAAAAGAGTCCGCCCCCGACGTCATCGACCTCGAGGAGCAGTCCAGCCACCGTACCAGTGATGGATCCGAGCAGGATACACCTGGTATTGGCTCTACTCCATTTGACCTCCTCGACATCCCCTTCCATCAGCCACCCAGGAGAGGAAATGAAGATGATGAAACCATTCCTGGAATCCTTGATGTAATCGATGAGGCCGAGGTCACACCAGAGAGACGAACTACATCGCTCCCGCCGAGCCGCGTTGCCAAAGTACTTTCCCCTAAGCCACTCAATGGTGACGTTGCTCAACGGCTTGATCTCACTCAACCTAATCCAGATCAAGCTCAACTTCGCGGATCATCATCATTTGATAATGTGTCGGGACAAACCGGCACTGACTCACGAGCCACAAAGAGGAGCTCTGAGTCACCCGAGAGACGTGAAGCTGCTCTACGACTGCGATCTAATCCCCCAGCTCATCACGATCCTATTGACGTTCCTATACACTCTGCGGGGTCTGGGCTCAGCTCCAACGCCCCGATGTCTGAGAAGGAGACTGATGACGGGATTAACTCTACGCCTAGGAATCGGAGACCTGGTCTTAGCACTATTGCCCCTGGATATGGAGGGCTTCCTTCGAATCAACCGGTCAACGACTCCGTTGTCCCCGCATTCTTTCAAATCGGAACTCCGGGCTGCACTCCCGACAGGGAAGAGAATAGCCGCGGAGATCATGACGCTGATAGTCGTCCTGCTCCGTCTGCTTCCACAAGTGGCGGCCATCCTGTTGCATCTGAGCTTCAACGACTGCTTCTCGCGATCCATAACGAGGTCAAGGGGTGCAAGGCCGAAATCCAGGGATGCAGAGCTGAGATTCGTTCATGTAGGGATGATATCAACGCTTGCGTCGGTGAGATCAAGAAGATCAATAACCGTGTTGACGCCTTCGAGAAGAAAGTTGAATCATCCTTCTCTGCTGTTGCCGGAACTCTCTCAAAACACGAGGCTAAGTTCCGTGATTTCCACGAGTGGGTTGCCCGAAGCGAGAAGGAGATGAATGAGCGTTTCAAGATGTATGATGAGAGATCTAACTCGATCGTCATATCCGCTCCTGAACTTCGCGAGCAGGCCGAATCACTTGAGAACGCCAAGGTCCAGCTTCTTAGGTTTTCTGAGATCGGGGCCCTTGAGGCTGAGGTTCGGAAAATCAAAGACGAAGTTGAGGCGAACTCTCGCAGTGTCATCGACATTGAGGGAACCATCTCAAGAGAAAGAACCATCCGTGGGAACGTCGAGACGTATATCCAGCATCTCGTTCCTGCGACCGACCTGAAGCAGTTCAGTGATAAGGTATCCGGAGCCCTCAATGAGAACTCACAGAAACAGGAAGAATTCAAGCTTCAATTGTCCCGCATTGCTAGATGTGTCAAGGACCTTCATGACAAAAGCTTAGGCCCCAACCCGAGGGACATGCAAGAGCAGTTTATGAAGCTTGTGCTGAGGGTCAATGAGATCAACATGCAGATCGCTGAATTGAGGGAGCAACCTCTTGCTGCCTGCGGATCCTCAAGTGCTGGCGCTGGTTCGACCGCCGGAACGGGATCATGGGAGAAATCTGGAGACACAGATTCCTTAACCCAGGGAAGGGCTCCTAGAGGTTCTCCTCCTCGTGATGCTCGCACCGTCAGCTCGGCGAGGCCTCCTCCACCTCCACCTCCTTCGGGGCCACCCCCACCATCACCATCAGCCCCCATCTTCGGCAGGGATCCCTCTAGAACGAGGGCCATTGCTCGGGCTGCCGGCGCTGCCCCTGATAACCGGGCCAGGTGTGCTCATGAGGAGCCAGGGCATCCACAGCATCGGGAACCTCGCTATCCATGCCGAAGCTGCGGCAAGTCAGTCTGCGAAGACTGCTTTGACCATGACTGTAACTCATGTTTCAAGTGCAGCGATCAGTTTCCTAGATGCCGCGCATGCAGAGGAAGAGGGGGGAGACACGGACTTGTGAGGTGTCTCATATGCAAGGACGAGTACTGCGATCAACACATCGCTTCGCCTGACGATGTACGTCGTTTTGGGTCGAGTGTTCGACCTATTTGCCTCGGTTGTCTGAGAGCTGATCCCGACGGGAAAACTAAGCATCGCGGCCCCAGCGCGGGGCCTGGAGGACCTGATTGCATTCCTGATCATAATCAGCAGGATGGCACTGCTCCTGATCCTGGATCCGGGCCATCACGTGGAGATCCGTCACATCGGAGTCCTGAACCGCACCAAGGGAATTCTGGTTTCTGTTCCAACGTCGGAGCTGCCGGGCCAATGCCACCAAGGGCAATGTCTTCGCCCGTAGTCGGACGAGCAGTTCCGAGGGGGACCATCAACACGTAC